GGAGGCGACAGTGTGTACATACTTCCCTCACGCACGCGTCGTAAACCGCCTCCTCAACGAACGAAGCGCCTCCGTGGTGGGGTACACCCGGCTCGTAAAGGGGAAGCTACACCACTTGGTGGGGTACCATTGTGATATCAAGTGGGGGTAGATTGGGCGCGGCTTACAGCGGGACCGCGCAGCGCGTGTTATAAAAATATAATATCAGTACTACCTAGCGTTCACTAGCCTTCTTTCTCGCCAGATATCCCGTCCGGTATATAATCATCCGTGCTGATAGTGTGCGTTCTCTAATCCCTCCCCCGTCCCCGTGTATCGCTGCACGCGTGTAACACGCACACATCGGTGAACGGTAAGAGTATTCTACCTCCGGTCTTCATTGATCGCCACGATCGAATCTCGCTCCGGCGAACGGAGAAACGAGTGGAGAAACGTGCAGGAGGTTGAAAGGAGAGAGAGAGAGAGAGAGAGAGAGAGAGAGAGAGAGAGAAAGCAAGAGCTAGAGAGAGGGAGAGTGGGCGAGAGGGGACACCCCCACGTCTCGAGCAACGCCATTGACAGCGGCGGTACTGCGTGGATCCGCGAGAGTCGACCAGCAGATACCGATATTGGAACGTAAGGTAATCAACGTGAGCCGGCGGCGCCGAGAGTTTTGGTAGTGTTGATCTTGGCGTACCCCACGCGACCACCGATTGATCGCACGTGCAAGACAGCGAGGAAGCCTCGTGTGCAACGTTGTGCATCCGATCCGCCCGTTGTCGGCAAGTCCAGCGATCGGACGGCGCGCAACCCGAATCCGGAATCGTTCCAATGGACGGCCAATCGCCGTCGGGCCGGTCTACTACACTCGGTTGGTAAAAAAGCGCGAGCGACTCCGATACGTCGAGGGAATTCCTACGTCGGCCCAAAACGAGGAGGAGGGGGAGAGAGAAAGAGAGAGAGAGCGCGAGGGAGAGAGCGAGAGCGGCCTGCTTCGACTGCTCCGACTGAGAGCTCTCCGAGGGAGAGAGGGTAGCGCCTAGAGAGAGAAAGACGCAGGAAACGGACGCGCACGGTGTGTGGCGATGAAGAGAGATAGAGGGATGCAGATAGAGCGAAGGGTAGGGAGGGGACAACTCGCTTAGAAGGCTAGGTATCGGGAGACGACGGGGAAAGCTAGTGCTTCACCACCCGCACGAGTTTCCTTTGGACATTCGTCCGAAGCTATTCGCGGCGTGTTTTCTTCCCTCTCCGAGTGCGAGTGAAATTAGTTGGACGGTACCCGTCGTCACAGTTATCCTCATCATCGTCGTCGGTTGTTATCGTCTTTACCATCATCATCATCATCATCATCATCATCATCCTCATCGTCACCATCGCCTTCGTCGCCTTCGTCGCCTTCGTCGCCTTCGTCGTCGTCGTCGTCGTCGACTTGGTACAATCGTCATTTACCCGTGACGTAAATCGCGTCGTCATCAGCTAAGGAGGGAGCGGCGTGCTCGAAGGAGGGAGTAAAACGCGGGACGGAAGTCGGAAGAGAGCCAAAGAGGAAAGAAAGAGGGAGAGAGAGTGAGGAAGTGCGTGCGTCGTAATCGGCGAGGAGAGAGATTTCGGCATCTCGAAATCATTCGCCGGAATATAATCGCGTGTGTCGCCATACTACACGTATACGTCGCGCTGTGCCGGTCCTCATTCCGGAGCGGATCCCGAAGAGGGCTCCCGTAAGGGCGAGAAGTGCACCAGTACCTTTTTTTCTACGCTTGTCTTCCCTCCCTCTTTCTCCGCACTTCGGTGGCGTGGGAGATCAGCTAGTGTTTTAGTGCCAGTGTTTAAAGTCTACCTCAGCCAATAAAGCATATTTAACAGAAAGAGAAAGAAATTACGTGTATATATAATATATATATAAATATATATATATA